CAATCTACTTGTCCCTTAGGACAATCTACTTGTCCCTTAGGACAATCTACTTGTCCCTTAGGACAATCTACTTGTCCCTTAGGACAATCTACTTGTCCCGGCACAAAAAATAGTTTTAACCAAAATTGTATTTAACTGTGCTAAGCATTGACCAATGAGTGCTCACAAATTGTGAGCGAAATTCAAAATACATAGCCCAAGGCTGTGCTGGACAGCAGGATCGCGCGGTAATCCCGCGATATCGCGGCAATTTACCGTGCGATATCGCTCTCCAATGCTTATCAATGGGGCAAAGGGTCCTGCTGTCGGGGGTCGTGTGTCGCTACAGCAGGACCCTTTTTGGAGCGGATTTAGCCGCGATTCAAGCTTGCTCAATGCAAGCATTTGCGCAATATCGCGACAAATGCGCGATTTGCGAACCGCTCAATGTGAACGGGGCCTTAGAGAGTGCTACTGCCCGGCTACCACAATATGGCACACAGTGACACTGTGGGTTTTAATATTTTAAAAACTTTTTATTTAATGTTTTTATCAAATTTTTCTTTTACTTTATCACTTTAATTTTTATCTGTTAAAAATAAGTCAGGGCAACTGGACTTGCTGTATTTTTCTTGGACGTTTCACTGGACATCTGACCAGCTTTCTTAATTCTGAATGGATAAAGCTGGATGGATGACCAGTGAAAAGACTTCAAGAAAAATACAGCAAGTCCAGTTGTCTTGACTTATTTTTTACAGATATACCATGACCTGGATGAATGAGAACCTTCAGACACGTTTTTCATTTTAAATTTTTTTTCGCTCAACTTTATTGCCATCACACAGGGGCTAATGAGCACCTGTGTGATGGCGTTTGGAGGTGACAAGTTGTCTTTTTGGAGCCTGCCTTCCAATACAGAAGATCAAGCACAGCATTGTACTTGATCTTCTGTGCAGCCTGGGTTGCAACAGCTGAGGCAGGAAGTGATGAGTACAGCGCTCCTGTGTTACTGATCACACAAAGCAGATCGGAGAACGGACGTTAACTGCTCTGCTCCCCGCTCTTCATCCATCCCATGGAATCATTGCCATGGTCCCGGGTCTCTGAGGGGGAACCCCGAAAACCACAGCGGGGGGAGGTGGGGAGAGACAAGTAGGCTGCTACAAGTAAGCCGCCCAGATCACTTGTGCAAAATGAGCTCCGGCTCTATGTTTAGCCCTGCTTGTCCGCACCAGGGCTAAATGTAGAAAAAAAAGCACCTGCCCTGGTTTCGGAACTGCATGTCCCAACGTCGTGGTAGGAATCCTGCACCCCTGATGTTTGTAAAGACTATATGCAAATAAAATACCGTCCATAGTCTGGGCACATGTGCTCTTTAAGAATCAGGATTTTGATTTTTTTCCTTGCTGTGTAGCAGCACATTAAGCCACCATGTTTAAAGAGACTGATTTTTACTGTTCTCAATGAAGATTAGTAGTTTTATACATTGGATAAGAAATGGTTAGCATCTCTCTATCCTTTTTATTGTAAAGAATTTAAGGGCAGTTTGGGTATAGTATTTAATTTTACTTTTGTGCATGTAAGGCCTAGCAATTCACTTCTTGCATTTTCTGTTCGGCTTTATTGAACAAAATTGGGGGGAAAAACCTTTCTCAAGGTCCACTTTGCGTAATGAAAATAAAAGCATATTTAGTTTGCTTGAATTGTGGGGTTATTCTTGGTAGCATATAAATTGCAGCAGCATGGATTTAATTATTTTACTATCCAAGCCAAAACATTGCTAATAAAGCAGAAGGGACTATATGTTTGACAAAATGATGCTCTGTAAAACTTTCCCAACATGTATGTGTTCTGTATATTCAAGATCTCCTCCCAAAAATATACTGTGTGCATTTTTACCCAAACCCAGGGCCGGAGAAATCGCAGGAGGAGGTAGCCTCATCTCCCAAGATACATATGCAAAGGGCTTGGAAAATCCGCTTGTTCTCTCGTCTGTGAGGAGAGGACGCCAGAGCCGGACGAGTAGCTTGCCGGCCGTTGTAATTAAACGGCCGGTATGGGAGCTTTACATTCACGCTTGCTTGTATTAGCAGCTGCTGTCACTTCCAATGCTGGTCCCAAGACCCGCTGGGACCGGCACGGCTGCTCTGTTAGAGGAGATCAAAGGGATCCCTCTGATTACGATCTCCCTCTGCTCTCCTCTCTGATCCCCGAATAAAGGAAGTGATGTATATTACATCACATCTGCATTCTGCTGTCACTCTCCAGCTTCAGAAGCTGGTGAAGCAGATCTGTGCTTCATTAGCTTCTCTGGGGGTCCCTAGGTGACATTAGGGGTCTTGGAGACCCCTGATGGTTTAAAAGAAGAGGACCTGTCATATAAATTGGCTATCACATAGGGGACTTCTTAGCCACCCATGTGATAGCAATAAAGTTAAGTGTAAAAAAAATAGTTTAAAAAAAATTGAAGCATTAAAACAAATAAAACACTAATTTTTTTAAGACCCCCGCCCCCAAAATACAGGACAATTCGGCCTATTGTGCCGCACATGTTACATATCACCGTGAACGTCGGCGTGCAAGCAATACATATAGGGCCATTCATCACTGATAACACTAAACTGATGAGCAGTAAAAGCGTTTAAAGCGTCGCCTATGGCCAATTTTTTGTGTGGTCGTTTTTTTTCAGATTTTGGGGGCGCACGCAATGTTAAAGCTTGACATGTTTGGTGTCAATTTATCCGACGTGACCCCAACTTTTTTATATTTTACCAAAAATATGGGTAAGAATAAATGTTCTTTTAACATAACATAGGGGGGAAAAAAGTTTGTTCCGAAATTTACGGTACTTTTTCATTAAATAGTAAAAAATAAAAAATCCTTGGTGATTATATGCCTCCAAAGAAAGCTCTATCTGTCCCCCAAAAATGTCAACTTAAATTGCAAGGCTATAGTCCGGTCATGCTGACTGGTGACACTTTTGACTGACTGGTGAGACACAATGCCCAAAGATTGGCCTGGATGCATTTATAGGTGCATTCAGGCATCATGCACTTCACATTGATACACATTGCCTATATTACTTTCCTGTATATTGAGGCATCAATAAACCACAGGGAGACTTGCTTACCATGGAACAAATTTTATTTGGCATGTTTTATATACATTTTGCATGCTTGTGGGATAAGCTGCAGTTTTACTGGTAGCCTTTTGCAGGGATGAATCCTGCTCCATGTAAAACACCTTATATTTGCATTGTATTGAATGCAGTATTCTATAAAACAAGGATGAGGAAGTCTTAGTCCTGTAAATTGCATACAGAAACGGCATGTTGAAATGCATTGCAGGTTATACCCCCAAAGGATGAAAAATACCTAAATATGTAAATTTTTAAACAAAAGCAAAATTGGGATTTTACAGGGCATGCATCAAATGCAGTGAAATGCAGGGTCTATACAATAAATTGCAAGCAGTACCAGCATTTTGACATCATTTCTATTGATGTCAATTTTAGAACATAATTCTGACCTCTTCTACATCACTGTTTATGGTACGATTTTATTTTACATTCTGGAAGGTACAGGGAAATATTTTTCCCTTGGCTAAAGATTATTTGCAGGATGGATATTACAGAACATTCTAATTCATGTCAGAATTCATTAAAGTAGTAAAGCTTATTTGGGGACAGTAACCAAATGTGCGATGCCCATAAATGGGTAATCTACAGAATTAGAGCTGCAGCTAACGATTATTTTCAAAATCGATTAGTTAGCCGATTATTAAGTTCGATTAATCGGTTAAAAAATAAAATACATTTTAAAAAATGGCTCCAGTGATGGGACTACTAGTTTGTATTGAGATTGTAGTCCATCACAGGAGCAAGCTTGGAGCGGTGGAAGTATAAAAGAAAACAAAAGTGTGGTGTGCAATATAGTGAAATGAAAAGTGTAAAATTTTGCGGGCGGGTCTGGCAGCGGCGAACGTGAGGTGGGGAGGAGGTGCGGCGCGCAGCGTGTGTGGAGCCGTGAACAGGGCCAACCAATCGGAAGCCGATTAATCGATGATTGAAAAAGTTGACAACTTTTTCAATAATCGATTATAATCGATAGTCGATTAGTTGTTGCAGCCCTATACAGAATATTGAGACCTGTCTTTTGCCAGGATTGTAGTCCTTGATAATACACTACCTGTTTTAAAGTATATCTCTAGCAAAAACTTTATTTTGTACAGAGTCGTCAACAGAAGCCATGTCAATTTTTTTTTTTGCTCACTGGAGAAAACGCCTTTCACTACCTGTCCTAGTGACATTGTCACTATAGCAGAAAGTGAGGGGAAATCTGCTTTAGAGACTTGGAATAGAAAAGTTAGTTTTTTCGCCTCCCCACACCCTACTCATGGGGTTGCATTTATTGCCATTTTTCCTTTACTACTTGTACTGGTGGCATTGCTCCAGGGTAGGAAGTGAGGGTCAATCTTCGTCAAGAGCCACAGTTAGAAGAAAAAACCTAAATGCTATATAACTTGTACTGGGCAGAAAATGACAGGTACTCAGTTCTGCTATCTGCAAGGATTTTGTCCTTCTGTTTTGCTTTCAGATGGCAGATCTTTAACATTAGAGTCACTTTATAGCAAAAGAAACAAAATATCATGTGATCACCATCGTTCAATTCTAGTAAATAGTCATTACCTTGTTTGCTGCATAGATCTTCAAATTCCACGCTCATTTCAGAAGATGGCATGTAGAAGATTTTTTTTGCTTGCTCTCCTCCTGCTCTGCAACAGCATAAAATGGGTCCCTTTTACGCTTGTAGGTCAGCAAGTGGTTAAGACCCATTGTACATTTCTGACTAGGAAAGTATAATTCTGATCATTCTTTACTTTGTGCTGATTTTGAGCTGAGAACCTTGGCCAATGGGAGAGAGTTGTTGGTGCTTGCTTCTTCCTCAAGGCTTTTGCCTACATGGGATTTGACTAGTCCTGCTTCAACAATTTGAATAACTATTTTTAGCGGCTGCCAGCCCCTGTCCGATTACAATAAAAACGGGATTTACCCCATCCACGCTCGATTTGATGGAGCAATCTGTTTATATTTTCATCCATCTGCAGGTTGAACTAAGAAAATATGTGAATAGCCAGCTTTAGTCTATGTAAAGCCACAACAACTGGGGATATCCCCTCACATTGGAAAGTTGTCCTCTTACATTTTACTTCTGCTGTGTCTCTTGTACAGGAAATGATGGGAAATCTCCCAAGACGACTTGGGCAGCAAAATACTACCTGACAATGGACTTAACATGGTCATGGCTATAAATACACTTTAAGCTTAGTAAGGAGACCTGTTAGTCAAAAAGTATAGGCGAACTCTCCTTACAGAACACAAACCCTGAAAATACTAATGGAAAACGTTAAATGAGGATTTGCCTAATGTCGTTTACTATGTCAGTTGGATAGCTGTAAATAAATTATATAGCTATATGCAATTATTTCTGTTATGGATATTTTTATTATAAAATGAGAGAATTTGCAATGATCATGGCAAAAAATATTTACACACTTCCAATTTCAGTCAAAACGTATAAACGTTGGTGCTAATACAATCAGCTAACAGCAGCTAATGTCAATTTACTTTTAAAGTGATGCTTTTGTTTTTAATTCAGAAATAGAAATTCAACATTAGTAGATGATATATATTCTATTTGTTATGTGCTGTGTCATCTGGAATAGGTGAAGTAATAGAGCCTAGCAAAATCTGTAGACATTTTATCTTTCACAATAAACACTTGTTCTGAAATATACTTCTCTTACCCCTTCCCCTCCTCTCTCGTTAGCAGGTAATAGCTGCCATGGAAACACAGTTGTCCAATGGTCCCACATGCAATAACACAGGCAATTGTCCAAACTCCATAAACAGCTGCACATCACCTGTGGACTCCAGCAATACAGAGGACAGCAAGACTAATTTAATAGTAAACTACCTTCCTCAGAACATGACCCAGGAGGAATTGAAGAGCTTATTTGGAAGTATTGGTGAGATTGAATCCTGTAAGCTCGTGCGGGATAAAATAACAGGTATGAATTATTTTTACATATTACCTTTTTGGGATGTTCCCTTCTACAAATTTGGTCATATTTAAATCCCTTTAGTTATAGTTTGGTTTATGTATCCTTGTATGTGTTAGAGATACAGCCTATAGTGAGTAATGTTTTAAAATGAATTTCAAGTTGGTTTATTTCTGCACTGATGCCTAACCTGATACCTAGCCAGCACTAGTGTCATAATTAATAGTATTACAAATATCAGTGTGTGCTGCTCTAGTATTAAAACACTTCTAATGACTGAATAATAACTTCTAATGTGAACAAAAGTTTGAATAAAGTGCTACATGCAGTTCTGTGATCTGTGCACCTAAATCCTGAATTTCAATATAATGTATATATTGAAATTCAGGATTTAGGTGCACAGATCACAGAACTGCATGTAGCACTTTATTCACAAATTTTATTCATTCACAAAGAATCATTAGTATTGGAGAGCAGCACAATATTTCTAATGTTTTAAAATGAATTTACTTTGTCCGTATCAGGTAAAGTAACTGGTTCACTGCATTTAAGGCACAATAGAAGCATCCTGTATTTGGCTTCCTTCATTCCACTTCTGCCAAGACCTTGTGTGTTTTTTTAACTTCCTGAAAGTGCAAAGTTACATAGAGCTACATTTGCCCTCACTTGCAGCCACATGACAACATTCGGACCTGGTGACTACCCACTCGGGCATTGAGCACTGTATTGTGGGAAAAAGCAGGGGCGTGTATTGCTCAGGACTGACAGCAGGGAGTGCAAGGAAAGAACAGTACCCTCTATGCAGAAATCCTGTTATATCACCTAGTATTGGACCGGTTTGCTTTCCAGACTTGAGAAATACACCTGAGATAATTTATGGTTTTGTTATATACATTTGTTTTCTGAGTTTTGACAAATGTAGTGAGAAGTAAACTTTGCAAAATCATTAATTAAAACTTGGCCATACCTTTTTCGAACATTGAATAAAGTGGTGAAGGACTAAAAAGCATTAGGTTTTTGTTTAATTGCTGTCATCCCAACAAGGTTTCTCCCTGCTTTCTGTCCCAAGATGCACAATTTGAAGTGAGGAGAAATTTTTACCTTTGACTGTTCCAACCAGGATGGGTATTAGCACTGCAAGATTCTCTCTTGCCCTTGTTCCAGGGACAAATGCTACATTTTGGATTACCCCCTTGCTTTCTTCCCTACTGACTGGGAATAAGGCTCTCCCCAGTAGGGACAGCAATACAAACTTGACTGATTCTAACCTTTCCCCCAAAACCAGAAAGAATATGGCTGGTGTCCTACTTTTAAGAACACAAGAAATTCAATTTAAAATCTTTAACAATGTTTTTTACATCCATAAACCACATTCCACCATGTACTTAGAAAACATCTAAAAATGGGGTCCCATTACCTTGTACTTAGAAAATATATACAACCTAAAAATGTGGACCTATTACTGTGCGCCTAGAATTTGTGCAGCACTAGTAGCCACATCAGAATAATACAAGCCTGACTCGCCTTTCTTCTAGTCTATTAAAAACAGTCTCTGGGACAGGATGAGAGGGCAAAAAAAGGAGGTTTTTACCCTTACCTTACACTAAAATGTTTGACTAGAGCTGACCTTAAATGCCCAAATCTTAAATTATGCTTTCAATAGAATTCTTGATAAAGGATCAGTTCTAGGTGCACTGACCTTTTTAACGTCTTTGCCATACTGTCAGTCTAAAATTAAATTTAACATTAAATTACTGTAAAAAGTTGGCTTTGTGGACCGTCTTTGACAACTTGAATCCAGCAGTATGCACCAGCTGTCTCTCTGTGCGTCATATTGTGTGCTGGGTCCATCACCTGCTGGGCACCAATAGGGCACGGGTGTTGAAATTTTAGAAAAAAACTATTGTCCAAGGACTAAAGTAGGGCCCAGTCCACTTGTCCCTCATGACAATCTACTTGTCCGGATACAAAAAGTAATTTTAACCAAAACTATATTTAAATAAGGTCTTGATGGCAACTTAGAAAACAGACCTATAAATACTTTAGTGCAATCAACACAAGTAGATAGTGAACTTAAACCGAACATAATCATTATATAATCATTAAATGACAGTCCTTGCATCCTGTGTGAGGGCACTATAAGGATACACCCAGCTACACACCGTTACTTACCGGAGCTGCCGAGACCAGAGGCGAGGAGGAAGGTGAGGGGGTCCTCCGAGGGCGGCTGGCTTAATTGCTGCTCTGAATAGTGTGTAGCCTGAGTGCCAGTCCATGCTCAGAGGGAGGAGGGACTAATGTACAGGTCACATACAGTGGGAGGATGGAAATTAAGGTGTTACTATATAGATGCGCAAGATAAGGAAGGTGAAAGGATTAATAAACAGCAGATAAGCTGAGAAAAGAGGGGGGCTGAAAGGGTTGCATTTCAAACATTTTTTTTTTTTTTCTGCTGCTGCTACACTTTTTCACCAGGAGGTAATGAATGGATGGCTCATCCATTTATTAGAGCCTGTACTCTCCCCTGCCTCTGATGGAAGGCTTGGCAATGTAAACATTGCATCACAGGACACACAGCTGGTCTCCCTGCCGATCAGCTCTGTATGTAAAGCTGCAGCTCTCCACTGTCTTGACAGCGGAAAACAGCGGCTGCGACTTGCCCACGGCAGGGCTAAATGTTAGGGGAAAAAAACCTGGAACTACATGTCCCAGGCGCCATGCGATACGACTCCAGTGTCTCCGGGGCAGTAGACTGGCAGCAGAGTTCTAAACATTGAAACATGTCCTGTGTTCTAGCACCCAGCACTGAAATAGACTGTACTGCCCCTCAGTTTGGTCTCCACTTGACAGTACAAGTAAACTCCCAGCTTCCTTGGGGAAAGTGGCACAGGAGCATGTGATCAAGTAACCAATTATCACCAATGCTGGGGGGAAGGATGTTAAATGTAACTGCCATTGACCACCAATGGTGGAGGAAAGGGGTTGTAAAGTGTTGCTCACTAGGGGGTTTAATAGCATTGCTATGGTGCACCGGTGCAGGAGGGACGTTAACAGTGCTCATCACCTATGAAGTGGGGGGTTAAATATCTCTACTGTCCCCCAATGAGGGGTTTAATGGTACTGCTTCTTAACCCCCATTATTGGTTTATTTAAAATTAGATCACTGACACCAATGTGGGATTTAATATTGTGGTCTCTAAAACAAGTGCTGGGGACACCAAGCTGGGGGTTGTTGCATGCACTGATGCCAGAGCTAAAGTGTTTTGAATAGCAGCCACTTAGGGCAATGCTCGGGGTTAAACTATTACTGTATTGCAGTGATGGAGATTATTTTCCTCCCACTTTCTCCTTACTGTGTTGCAGTACCCTGCAAAAAAATGCATGAGGACCACATTTTTCAGGCATTGAGGTGTGTAACATCCTTTTAATTTTGAATGGGCTGCCAGACTTTGACACAATGCACCTCAGTGAATGAAAACACTGCGATTGTGCTTTGCTCTCAAAGTGGTGGGCTGCACTTGAGGCGCTCTAATAACCACTGATCTGTAGGTTGTCCTGTACTATTTACCAGCATCTCCTACATTGTAGTTACAGGTGACATTGCAAGTATTTCCAGTGAGCTTATGGATCCTACTGTCCCCTACTTTCTTCTTCTGAAGAAACAGATCACATCAATAGTCCTGTTCCAGCCATCCAATGGAAAATTAAACTAACCATAGTTCTGAACAAAGAACATGGATGAGATTAATGCCTATTTCATGAATTGCTTGCTAGCAAATGCTCACACAAATGTACACAGCAGGGTCAATTCACAAAGCTCAACATTATGAGATTAGAAGATATTGTATCTGTTCTTTACCACTCTTGCTAGAACCTATAACTCACACATGAAGGAATTGTTATTGCATACTCTGTTTACCATGTGATGTGTGTGATAAAGTAGTGTTATTTTAGCATCACAGACTTTATTTTATCTGATGTGACAAAAAAAAATTTGCGTGTTAACGTTTGCAGTGTATTTTAGTAGCAGAGAGGGTTGCAGAAGATGCCATGTAGATCTACTTTCACTTTTACCACTTATTTGTCTTGTAATTGCCCACGATTTCCTTTTTAGCATTTTTACGAAATAGGATCATGCAAAAACACAATTGCGTGCATGTAGAAAACTTTACCTACCTTGGTGTGAACACAAACCGATTCACTTTTTTGATCTGTGTACAATGCAGTGTGAAAATGGGGCAGGGAACCTGTTCTAAACTGAGACTAGTTTTGACTTTTGGACTTTATATGTTCGTTATTTTACATAAAATGTACATTTGTTATGATGGCATTTATTAACCTACAAAGTGCATAAAGAGAAGAAATATAAATCAATTCAATATTCACCTTTTGGCTTATCACATGGCATCAATTCTCTCTGGTACACTTGCACACAGTAGAAGATTTGCAGCCATATGGTCCAATGCAGTTAAACAGTTATACCAAACCAGTGCTAATGAACAACAAGGTGACCTGTAGGTTAAAATATGGTCATTAAATCAAACAGAATCCTCTGTGTGGGAGGAATGAAATTGGGTAAGGTAAAGCCATGCTCTACAAGTTGAGCTTGCTGAATACAGTTTAAAAAAAAAAAATCTTACACAGTGGCAAGACTGAGCATAGCAACTTTTACACAGGGTTGTCTCAAAGGGAGAAATTTTGTAGAAGAAAGGAATTTACAGATGTGCTGTCAAAGCTCTCTTGCAGAAGCACACAAAAAACAGGCAGTGGTGAGGGGGGATAAAGGCAGTGATCGGGCCAAGAAACCTTGCAGTATATAAAACACATGTTTATTTGCTTTGCAATCAGAAGATGCCCAGTAGTGCCATCAGTAGTGGAAGAAACCAATAGAACCCGGGCTCCCATCACACAGTCTGGAGGATTCTTTGAGTTGTCTTAGGCTGGGTTCACACCTTAGCGTATTAAAAAGTCGCGTTTGCAGCGCGATTTGCGGTAAAAGAAACGCGCGGC